CAATAATCATCAATTATTGTTTTTCTTATTACTTTACATCTAATTTATATATATATATATAATTGTGAAAATTGTAAATATTTATAGCCATTGCAACTAGATATCAACTAATCATTGAAAATTTAAAATTATTACTCGAAATGTATATTTTATTCATTCAAAATACAATAAAATTCACAATAAGTGTGTTTATTTATTATTATTTAATCTTATTTTATAATTTAATTTTTCGCTGTGGTTCCTTTTATCTTATTACGTATTTTAAATAAGTTTATGATATACGTTTGTAGCTAAGATTTTAAACCTCTTTTATTTCATTTCTTTAAATTACACGCCTTTGTACTACCCAAAACATGGCGAAGGGTCACGTGACTGGGTAACACAAACATCAAAGGTTCCGACTTAACTGTCGTAACTGTGTATGATTAAACTGTGCTGTAGCCCTGAGTCGCGGATGGCTGGACCACGCACTATGCATAACTTGAACTTGGTTCGAAAGAGATATTTCTTTATAGCAAACTTCGTCGACTGATCGCTTCCGTGGCTATCGATCGAATCGCCCTTTATTCACTTGCGATCGTTGTTCGCCCCACCAACCAGGGTTGATTCTTATTGGCGCGGTAACTACACAGGATTTCCTGTTTTTAAGACCGCTGTCCTTTAGACCGCTGCCGCTATCGCTAAATGTTTTGATCAATGCCGCGTGGAAATCTCAAAGATACCGCATGGAAATCTCAATCAATGCCGCGCACACGTGTGCAAGGGTGGCCGAGCTATCCGTGTTTGCACGTTTGAACGTGTGTTAATCTCATGTGTGTATCACATGTATTTTTGTATGACGCATGTCGTGTACGACCCTCGGTCTTGTCGTTACATAAATAATAAATAACAAGTGTTTTAAAAAATTTTCATTATTTGTTATAAAATTTTGTGTGTGTGTGTGCGTGTGTGTGACATTACCATATAATTATTTATTATAAAATATTGACATTGCCGTACAGTTTTGTGGATGAAAATTAATTTATAAACATTGGGAATGGTCGGTAAGAATAATAATAAAATGTTGTTAGCACTTATTTATATACTGCCTTTTTTATAACGTTTTTATAACGTTATAATTTATAATTTTTTATAACGTAAATCAGTTATGTTTTCTTTCAAATATTCATAACATAAAATGTATTTGTAAAAATAATAATTTATTTATAAAATGTTCATGATGTACGTCCTACTTATGTTTTAAATGTTTC